CAACAGGTATCAACTGAAAGAGTCACAGTGAGAGGCAGAGGCAGAGAGAGAAGAGAGAGGTCTTCTATCCGCTGGTTCACTCCCCAGATGGCTGCAACGGCCGGAGCTGCGCTGATCCAAAGCTAGGAGCCAGGAGTCAGGAGCCAGGAGCTTCTTCCAGGTCTCCCACGCAGGTGCAGGGGCCCAAGGACTTGGGCCATCCTCTACTACCTTCCCAGGCCATAGCAGAGAGCTGGATTGGAAGTGGAGCAGCCAGGACTCAAACCGGCACCCATATGGGATGCTGGCACTGCAGGCCAGGGCTGTAACCTGCTGCGCCACAGCGCCGGCCCCAGGTATCAACTTTTTATTCCTCACCTGTGAGTAAGAGCTGTTATCCTTGTTTCCCATGTAAGGGAACAGATGCACATGCCAAGTTAGAAAGTGGTGGTGCCCAGACTGGATCTCTCTAGAAAGCACCACTCATCACCAGGACAGTGATGGTTACCCAGAGAAGGGGCAGGCCACACTGCAGAATGTCAGAGGAGGGGCTGGCGCCGTGGCTCACTTGGTTGATCCTCCACCTGCGGTGCCGGCTTCCCATATGGGTGCCGGGTTCTAGTCCCGGTTGCTCCTCTTCCAGTCCAGCTCTCTGCAGTGGCCCAGGAAGGCAGTGGAGGATGGCCCAAGTGCTTGGGCCCTGCACCTGCATGGGAGACCAGGAGGAAGCACCTGGCTCCTGGCTTCAGATCACGTGCAGCGCCAACCATAGCAGCCATTTGGGGAGTGAACCAACGGAAGGACGACCTTTCTCTCTGTCTCTCTCTCAGTCTATAACTCTACCTGCCAAAAAAAAAAAAAGAATGTCAGAGGAGAGGATAAAGATTGACGTGCAGAGGTGTGGAGGGAGGGCCTCCCAGGTGGAGGATGCTCTGTGGGTAGACGCAGGGCCTGGGAATCGAATGCTCTGTGCTAAGGAGGAGGAGCTGAACGCCAGAGCTCCAACCATGGCAGTCCCCAGTGCAGGGTGGCGGTAAGAGACTGGAGGCTCAGGTCCTCCCAGTCTTACTCACACCTGTGTTTGGGGCAAGTTGCTTAATTATAAAAACAGCAACTACCTCTTTGGGAAAACGGAATTGACACGTGCAGTGTTGAGAAGGATGCTCGGTACTTGGTGATTACTACATGTGTCGTGATTGTTTCGGTTGTCGTCAGGGATACGATGTGACTGAAGGGTGGTATAAAAGCCTGATACGGGGCAGATAATTGGCCTAGCACTTACGACGACGCCAGTGAAGACACTCACGTCCCACATCACAGTGCCTGGGCTAAGTAACTGCTTGTGGCTCCTGACTCCTGCCTTCTGCTAACGCAGACTGTGGGAGGCGGCAGTGACCGCGCGGGCAGCTGAGTTCCTGCCACCCGAGAGGAAGACCCAGATCTGAGTTGCAGGGTCCTGGCCATTGGAGACGGTCTTTTTCTCAATTTCGCTCTGCCTCTCAAATCTACATAAATAAATATTTTTTAAAGATTTATTTTATTTATTTGAAAGTCAGAGTTACACAGAGAGAGGAGAGGCAGAGAGAGAGAAAGAGAGAGAGAGAGAGAGAGAGAGAGATGTCTTCTATCAGCTAGCTCACTCCCCAATTGGCAGCAATGGCCAGAGCTGCGCCGGTCCGAAGCCAGGAGCCAGGAGCTTCTTCCAGGTCTCCCATGCGGGTGCAGGGCCCAAGGACTTGGGCCATCTTCTACTGTGTTCCCAGGCCACAGCAGAGAGTTGGATCATAAATGGAGAAGCCGGGTCTCGAACAGGCGCCCATATGGGAAGCCAGTGCTTCAGGCCAGGGCATTAACCCGCTGTGCCACAGCACCGGCCCCATAAATAAATATTAAATAAGTAAATAAGTGACGGGCATTTGGCCTAGAAGTAAACATGCTAGTTAAAGATACCACATTCCCGGCCGGCGCCGCGGCTCACTAGGCTAATCCTCCGCCTTGCGGCGCCGACACACCGGGTTCTAGTCCCAGTCAGGGCGCCAGATTCTGTCCTGGTTGCTCCTCTTCCAGGCCAGCTCTCTGCTGTGGCACAGGGAGTGCAGTGGAGGATGGCCCAAGTGCTTGGGCCCTGCACCTGCATGGGAGACCAGGAGAAGCACCTGGCTCCTGCCTTCGGATAGGCGTGGTGTGCCGGCCACGGCGGCCATTGGAGGGTGAACCAACAGCAAAGGAAGACCTTTCTCTCTGTCTCTCTCTCTCACTGTCCACTCTGCCTGTCAAATTAAGAAAAAAAGATACCACATTCCATATCAGAGCTCCTGGGTTCAAGTCCTACCTCTACTCCTAATTCCAGCTTCCTGCTGATGTAGACCATGAGAGGCAACAGGTGCTGGCTCAAGTACTTGAGTCTCTGCTTCCCACGTGGGAAACCTGGATTGAGTGCCCAGTTTCTTTCTAGACGTTGCAGGCATTTAGGGAGTGAACCAGCAAACAGAGTGCTCTCTCTACTTCTCCCCACACTCCCCCTCCCCCCAAAATGCCTGATACAAGAAAAATAAGAACACCAGTGTGGAGTTGTGGAAACATGGGTGTGGAGCCTGAGAAATCCCAACAATGAGGCAAACTGCCGTGGAAGGTGGGTTTTGGGGGCCCACATGTGGTCTCTGGGCCCTGCCATTGATCCTCAGTGGCTTTATTCTGTTGCTTTATGCTGGCCCTCATCCTGGGGATGTGCAGAGTAGCAGAGCCTCCTCTGTGCCTTGTGGCCCTCGGTACTGACATGTGCATAAAGGAACCATCACTGGGAGCTTGTTAAAAGCTGTGGAGTCAGGGCTGGCGCTACGGCATAGCAGGTAAAACCAGCATCCCATGTGGGCGCCACTGTTCCACATCCGATCTGGCTCTGTGCTATGGCCTGAGAAAGCAGTAGAAGATGGCACAAGTCCTTGGGCCCCTGCACCTGCCTGGGAGACCTAGAGGAGGCTCCAGGCTCCTGGCTTCAGATAGGCCCAGCTCCAGCTGTTGTGGCCATTTGGGGAGTGACCCAGCAGATGGAAGATCTCTCTCTCTCTCTTCCTCTACTTCTGTAACTGCCTTTCAAATAAATAAATAAATATATTTTTTTAAAAAAATTAGACCTCACAAAAAAGTTAAAATTACAACTGAAATTTTTTTAAAAAAGCTGTGAAGACAAACTTGAGTTTGTGGCTCTGCCACTCTGTGTGACCCTGGGGAAGGGCTCTGCCTCTTGGCACTGGTTTCCTCATCAGGGACAGCAAAGGAGCCAACCTCACAGGCCGTCTCTTCTCCTGCCTTCAGTCTGCTTTACTGATGAGGAAACAGGACCCCAGACTGGCCCAGGGCTGGCAGCCAACAGACAAAGCTTAAGAGCCAAAGCTCAGATTCCTTAGTCCGCAGCACGTGCACGCCTTATCCATTTACACACCCGTATTCTGCACAGCCTTTCTCCCTGTGGCCTGAGGGACACGGGTGTACACAGGAGACGGGAAGGGGTGGGGGTGGGGGGGCAAAGTCACCTGCAGTCACTGCTCGGGTCAGTAGGGGAGCACTACTTTGGAAACAGCAGTGGCCTGCTTGCATTTTGTTCACCTCCTGCCGCATAACTTACTTTCTAACTGTGGTCCCCCAGCTGTCCATAGCCAAAGCCAGGGGTCTCCACAGCGCAGGACAATGCCTTCAGAAGGCGCTTGGGCCAGCCTAGTCAAATCCTCGGTTCGGGGTGGGTGTTTGGCGCAGCATCCCCTGTGAGAGTGTCTAGGTTCAGGTCCCAGCTCTGTTCCTGATGTCAGCTTCTTGCTGATGCACACCCTGGGAGGTAGCAGGGCAGGCCTCAAGTAGCTGCTGGGTCTCTGCCACTCACGTGGGAGACCCAGACTGAGTTCCAAGCTCTTGGCTTCAGCTTGGTCCAGCTCCGGCGTTGTGGGCATTTGGGGAGTGAACTAGCAGATGGAAGCTCTGCCTCTCTTTCAAAGAAATGAACATTTGTATAATATCCTTTGTTTCCAGGCAGGTTCTCTAACAGCTAGGACTGGCTGGCAGATTCTGCAGTGCTTACAAAACCTCATGGCCACAGGCCTCAGCGTCCTGGGGCCACCCCTCCCTGTGAGACACGAATGGCTCCACCTCCATTCCGCATTCTCCACGGAGCCCAGCACCTTATCCAAGATTTTGTGTAACTGGCTTAAGAAGTGTCCCTTCTTTTTCCAAATCCAGTTGAGAGTCTTTGCTTTTAAACCCCGAGCGATGTGATTACTGAGATTAATGTAGGTCTAAATAACGTTGTGCTTTGTTCCTGCTGGTCTACTTTTCTGTTTCGCTTGTTTTCTTACTGTTAGATGGTGAAGTACTGCTTCTTTTCATTTAGAGATTTCCTTTTCCCGCGAGGTTTCTCAAGGTGCCCAGGGTGCTCAGGTCTGCCCGTCTTGCTCCCCGTAATTCCCCCTCGTGCTTACTCCTTGTCTCCTGCTTGCTGTTCCTTCCCTCTTTTCTCCATCCATTCTCCACTACTAGGCAAGTCCTTTATGTCAGGCAGGTAACACGGGGACAGGGAAATATGCACGTCGCAGAGCTTCTTAGAGTTGTGGGACATGAGGGTTTTCTCCCTGCCCGTGGCCCTCCTTAGGTCCTAACCAGCTGGCTATGTTGGGTCCCTTTTAATTCCAGGTATCTTCCCCCAAACTCATCCTCACACCTTCCGGTCTATCCTCCTGTTGTCACTACCCCCTCACCTTGCCCAATCAGTCCCTCCTGTTAACATGCAACAAGGGTACTTTGCTCATCACTGCACCCCAGGGCCTGAGACCGTGTCTGGCACACAAGACGTGGATATTCTTAAGGAATGTATGAATCCCAACAGCCAGGTATTCAGGGGGAACACCCCCGTCAGCCCCAGTGGAACTGGCTCAGTGAAGCGCCAGAGAGGTCTCCTGGAATCCTGCCCCCTCCCGGGTCCCAAAGCACCCCCCCCCCAAGCTGAAAAACGGGACTCTGGGGAGCAGGTGGAGTAAGGTACTAACGCTTTTAATACAGTCTGATCAGATCAATGCACATCACTCTTGTGTTGACACAGCCCAGCTACACCACGTCCCTACCTGCTGGCTCCAGTGCCTTTCTGGCTTCCAACAGCACTAGATTCCTTATCTCCCTGACCAGACTGGCATTCTTTTAAATTCTGCATAAAACTATTTCTTCCATAGACTTCAAACAATCAACTAGCCAAGTTAATTATGGTACATCTAAACAAAGTTGAATACTAACCCTAACGTGTGACTGCGGTTTACAAAGAGCTCTGTATCACCTGTGATAGCTTTCAGTAGCAATTCACTACAACTGGTCCTAAAAAATAATAACAATAATAATAATAATTAGAGAATTCAAACCCAACAGCAAGTTGAATGGTTAAGATCATGTGAGAACTGGAATTTGGGGTGGGGTGTCCTCAATAGCTGAGCTTGTCCTAGCAGCAAAATGTTGGCCACCAAGCAGGGCTCAGGAGGGTCTGGGCCCTCAAGGCCAAGGGCTGAGCTCAGAGGGGCTCTTAGAGGATGCTCACCCCATGGTCCGTGGGATGCTGCAGGCTTCCGGCTTCCTTAAAAGCAGCTGGGCATCAAGGTGTAAATGGGTGGAGACCCTACTGTGGTTTCTTTTGGAGGATATGGGAAAGGGGAATGAGGAGTCAGAGAAGAAGGCAGAGACCAAAACCGCCGAGGTCCCAGGATACCATGGGGTTTGTGTTTGGGACTGGGGTCGCTAAGAACTGAGCACCAGGAATTCCAGCTTCCACCTCTTAAGAGAAAGCGGGAAGCGGGACTGGTGTTGCCATGGAGGCACGTGTAGTGTTGTCCACCCTCGTCCCATACCAGATCTTGCAGACATTTCTGCCGAGTATCAGATGAGAATCTATTTCTAAAGGCCACTGGGGGAATGGGCGGTAGAGAGGGAATGGGGCTGGGGCCGGGTGGGTGGGTAAAAACGAAGAAAAATCTCTCAGCTACAGAACTCAAAGACATCGCTTCCCTCCGCATTCACAGCATTTCTCAGCCGGCCCCGATGGCGGTCTCCATGGGGACGCAGCGCCTGCCTCACTTCCCTTCCGGCCCCATGGGCTGCTGGTCAACCTCAGGATCTACCAGGGACGACGCAAACGCCGACTGAACGATCTGGAACCCGAAGGACTCGAGGAGAGACATGTTCTGCTGTGGAGAGAAAGGCGACCCGAGGGCAGGGCCCAGGTCCCCCAGAGGGCCCCCGAGCGCTCGGACGTGCGCCTTCTGGATGTGTTTGTTCAAGTAGGATTTGGAGCGGAAGAAGCTCCCACATTCGGGGCACGGGTACTTCTTCTCCCCGTCGGACTCCATCTTGTTTTTGGGGACCGCCATGTCACAGGAGAAAGAGCCGTTGGCGCTCTGCTTCTCTGGCGTCTTCAGGTCGCTGGCATCTGAGAGGTCACCGTAGGAGTCGGAACTCTCAATCGGATCCTGATGTGAGCATTTCTGGCCTTCTACAGAAACAAAAAGGAACAAAAAAAAACAAAACACAGAGGAGAGAATGAGGCCAGGTTCTGGAGGTGCCCCCTCCTGGAGGGGTCATGAGGGGCCAGCTCACAGGCCTGTGGGGGCAGCCGATGGCCGGCCACTGCCCTGGCAGAACCCACGGAGGTTCAGCTGGTCAGTCTGGGAGCCTGGAGGGCCTACAGGGGGTGACACAGCAGGGCCCGGGGGCCACCAGCCTCCCTCGCCGTGGACTCTTCATGCAGGTGTACGTGTACCGCTCACCATCATCTCGGCCTACTTCAGGAAGGGGGTATGGAGAGGAGACCTCAACTGCCTCTGCCTAGAACAGCTCCTAGGTGCCTCTTGCATGCCTCTGCTTGTGAAAACAGCTATTCTGATGACCCCAACCAGGCCCATCAGTGGCCTCATCTCCTGGCACCGGACAAGCTGTACCAGACCAAGGTAGGCAGAATCAGCCGTGAAGCCCTTGACCCAGGAAGGCTCCACTGGCGGCTCAGACAGAAGTCAGTCCTTGTCCTTTTCCAAACACAAGCCCTACCATTACTGCCTTCCTCCTGCCAAAACCCATCCAGGGCCATGCAGCCAAAGAACAGAGATTAAGAACAACTCTGAACAACTCGTCAGCTGGGTGTCCCCACCCAGGGCCCAGGACAAGCTGGGCTGAGACAACCCTCATGACTGTGCCTTGCGCAGCCCACACTGGAGTCCTCTGCCAACCAGCAGCCTCCTGCCTGGGTCCAGCCAGCCATGCCGGGAAGGGAGGTCTGTGATGGGAGCATGGAGCATGCCATCTCTGCCGTCTCCACCATCTGCCGACCCCTGGCCTCACCCCCGCGGCAGCAACAACAACAAGACACACCAGAGAACAACCCGAATCAGCAAGTGAAGGTGGGCCTGGGGAGGACTCTGCAAACCAACTCCGAGTCAGAGGCGGTCAGGTAGCTCATGTATTGCCATGCATCTCACAAACGCAGCCAGAGGCTCCTAAGATCGGGCAGCTCACAGCAACCAACCAGCCCTGCGGCAGGGGAAGCCAGCCACTGGCTTCCACCGCTCGCGGGGTCCAAGGAGAAGAAAGCATCGAGCAGCAGCTGCACACTGTCCTACAGGGTGACAGGCAGCGGACAGCCCCGAGGGACGCGTCATGCAGGACTCCTCTTCTTGCCCTGGGCCTGGGGCGTCCCTGCAGGGCTCCTGACGCTGGGGGCTGGCCAGGAGGAAGGAAGAAAGGCTGGGGAAGAGGAGGCAGGGGCTAGATCTCAGCAGTGCCCGGAAGCCTCGCTCTCTGCCCTACTGGAGTGAGACACCCACTGTGACTGGCCCTGGAGGCCACTGCCACTCAGATCTCCGAGCCTCCTCAAGGCGGCCAGAAAGCTGACAGCCTTCCCTCCCCACGCCCGGCCCAGCGCCCCCACAACACAGTCTGCGCAGAGAAGCAAAGTGCAGAGCAAGGGGTCGCTTGCCTTTGTTGCCATAGGTCCTGGCGCAGTGGAACGCTGCTCCCCCATTCGGGATGGGCTCCTGGTGCCTGGAGACCTGGGGAAGGGGAACACCGTGGTGGGTTTTAACATGGACCTTTAAGTAGGAGGCAGAGGAGAAACCTAAACAAGACAAAAGGAGATGAGATCCCGCGGCCAGCAAGAGGTACCTCTCTGCTTCCCCCACGCCTCTCCTCTGGCCGTTCTGGCTAGCATCCCAGGTCAGCTGCACCTAGAAGGGACCCTCTCCTGGGCTCAAACACCACTGCAACCACAGGAGCCACGTGGCCCAGGATGGAGGGTGGCCCTGTCCACGAATCGGCTTCTCCGAACAGCCCACTCTGCACAGCTGTGGTGAGAGGCCCAGGCCAGCCACCTGGCTCCTGCTAGCCAGAGGCCAAAGGCCAAAGGCCTCGGGCTAGTAACAGGTGGTCTGAGTGGGTGTTCCACAGCCCCAGGTCGGCCGCAGGACCACTCAGGAATGTGGTCAGACAAGCACACTGCCCGCCTAGCCCTTGTGAAACCAGGTAGAGGAAAGGCAACTCCCCAAGCAGTGCCTCCAGGGTCTCCCTTCTTCCACCTGTTTGGATGTGCTCTGTGTTGCTAACTTTGTCGCCTTCAGAATAACTGGGTTTAGTGACTATTTGGACCTTTTGAAGAATAGCAGCAAAGATAGGAAGTTAAGCGTTGTGGCACATTCCTCACTCCTGGTGGTCTTTTTCGTTCACTTTGGAACACGTCCACCAGGTTCACTTAGAGAAAAAGAAGCAAGGGTGATCTCGGTCTTTACTTTGGGGTAGCAGCAGGCCAGCCATCCTGGAGCTGCTCCAGCCCCAACACCCTGGTTGCTTCAGTTTGAGCCATGAGATCTCAGGCTGGGAAAAGCAGATCTTGGGGCAGCTTCCATAGCAGCCATGGAGTCCACGGATGAGGGAAGCGGAGGCCAGTACAAGGATTTTGGTGCCCTGGGTGTCCCGGGGCGGGAGTGCGCCACTGAACCCCTCCACCGTCAAGGAAGAGAAAGCGCCTTTAGCAGGAACCACGTGCAGTGCCAGTGCCCTAATCCACTCCAGATGGAGTTCATGCGGTCTCAGGTCCTCTCGCTCCCCCCTCGAAATGACACAGGGTGACAGTGAGATCCACTGTCCCAGGGCCAGAGGCAGGAAAGCAGCGCGCAGTGTCTGCACGTGCCTTGCTTTAAGAAGCTGGAATCAGCGTGGTGTTTGGAAGGCCGCTGGAAGCTGTAATAAAGGTTTGCCCTTTTAGCAAGCACTGACGGGGGTGGGGGGGGGCTAGGGCCCAGCACACTGCACGTACTGCTCTGCAGAATGCCCCGGCACCCTGTGTGTTGGGAATCACTGTACCCGTTTTATAGATGAAGGAACAAACATGAAGCTTTAGTGACTTCAGTCACGTGTGCAGCTACTGGGTAGCAGGGCCTGGACTCCAACCCCAGGACCCAGGTGCCACCAAAACTTGGCCCTTTACCCACGGTGAGGACTCTTCCATTGCATCTATGTCTTGGCCCTGGGCCCTGGAAACATCCCCTGGATTTCATTATCATCAACTCATGTATTTGTCATGTACCTGGCGGGCTAGGAAGGCAGCTGCTGGCAGACAGAGGGCTGGCCCGTGGGAAACGTATTTCACAGACACTCCCCTGATGGCAGCAGCCGGGACTCTGGAGGGAAGTGTGGGATCAGGCCGACTTCCCTTCCTTTCCCAGCGCAGCTAGCACCACATGCCAGTGTCCTGCCCTGCCCGCTACAGTGAGCTGTCCTGTGCTGTGACCAAAGTGGTCTGCCTGGAGCTGACTGGGGGGCACAGAGAGGCCTAAGAGGACCCCGCATAAACAATCCTAAGAGGGAGGCTACAGTCAGGAACTTAGTGGACGAGGTGAACGGGAAAAAGGCTCTCAGCACTGCTCCTCTGGGGTGGGGCTGTAAGACCCCAAATACCAAGGAGAACCAGGGATGCTGGCCCTTGGCAACCAGCACGGATAGCGGAACTTTCTGATAAACAATGATGCCACTTTACAAAGGATTTTTTTCTTTCATGTTTAACCTCTTGTGGAGTCTAAAGTAGTGTGAAGCCCTCCCCATGGCGTGCCATCGCAGGTCCACTGCAATCAGAGGAGGCAGGAGGGAGGGGAGAACACCAGGAATTACTGTATTTACTCCTTGTGGGGAGTGCTATGCCAATGGAAAACATAGAAGATGCTTAATAAAAACTTGCCACGTTTTCCTGCAAAACAGTCTGAGGAACACGTGGCTGGGCGCTCTCGACCGTGCCCAGCTGCAGAACGTACCATCTATAGCAGAACGACTTGGCAGGATGGCAGGAGCGGATCGGATCCACAGCTGCCACTTAAAGCTCGTATCTAAACACAGAGCAACTCAGCAGCCAAGTGTCGGGATGAAACAGATGCTGAGCTTCAGAGCAGGACACGTCTTTGAAGCCAGACGCATTCAGCCGGAATTCTAAACCTCCCCGCCATTCACCACCGATTACCACGGGCCAAACAGGCAGCGTGACCCAGGCATCCATGTGTCGGGGTTGCTGAGCACACACGTGACTGCCGCCACGCGCGATAAGCTGCCTCCCTCTCCCTCCGCAGACAAAGGCCCTTGCCCCTCACTTGTGTTTTCCTGCCTGGGGCACCTGCAGTTGGCGTTCCAGGAGCCGATTCTCCTCGGGAAGGTTTCCCATCCGTGCAGGGATCAGGATCTGCTTTCTCCTGGTCCAAACCTCCAGCCCTGCTGGGTGTGTGTCAGCCCGGGGCGGGGGTGGGGGGGGAGTGTCACAGGCTGCCTGTGTCCCCCCACTCACACACTCAACTCTGACTGGGGAGAGACCTTCCCCTACCTTTTCAGCTCTGATGTTTGAGCCCCACTGCTTCTGTCAGAGGCAGATTTCCAATAAGCTGTCCCTCTTCCCCATTCCAGGGCACATGCGCATATGTAAGGCCCTGCTACGGAATCTAAAACCTCTAAAACCGGGGGCTGGCGTTGTGGTGTAGCAGGTGAAGCTGCCGCCTGTGGTGCCAGCACCCCATATGGGTGCCAGTTCACGTCCTGGCACGTCTTGGTTGCTCTTCTTCCAAGCCAGCTCCCTGCTAATGCACCGGGAAAACTGGGGAGGAATGGCCCAAGTGCTTGGGCCCCTTCACCCACGTGGGAGACGTGGATGAAGCTCCTGGCTCCTGGCTTTGGCCTGGCCCAGCCCTAGCTGTTGCAGCCATCTGGGGAGTGTACCAGCAGATAGAAGACCTCTCTCTTTCTCTCCCCTCCTCTCTCTGTAACTTTGACTTTCAAAAAAATAAATTAATTTTAAAAAACCTATCAGGATTGAAGGATTTCAGAGGCACCTATAGGTTCACCCAATCTAAATATTTTCTGTCGTTGGTAAGATTTACTTATCTGAAAGTCAGAGTTACAGAGAGAGATCTTCCATCCGCTGGTTCACTCGCCAGATGGCCGCCAACAGACGGGGCTGGGCCAGGCCCAAGACAGGAGCCAGGAGGTTCTTCCCGGTCTCCCACGTGAGGGCAGGGGCCCAAGCACTTGGGCCGTCCTCTGTTGCCTTTCCCACACCATGAGCAGAGAACTGGATTGGAAGTGGCGCACCCGGGACTCAAACCCGTGCCCATATGAGACGCCAGCATCACAGTGGTGGCTTTACCAGCTACGCCGCAACGCCAGTCCCACTCTCTGCAGATGGCTGACATTCAGTATTTGCTTGAAACCTTGCACGGATAAGAACACCCATTTATTCACACAATTCCCCCTGTGTTCAGCAGGGCAGACGATGACACAGAGCCTCGGCATTCTGACGCCGAGGCCTCAACGTCTTAGGCACCCTGAAAAAATCTTAATTCTGTTCCGAGAAAACTGCCTTCGCCTGCGTCCTCCCCGCCCCTCTGCCCTGCCTGCTTTGGTCTCTTCTGTTTGTGCCTCAGAGCCGAGTCCAGAGGCGAACCCGCTCCTGCTCCCCTCAGGAAGACAGCACTTGTCTTCCTTCTGAGCCCCCAGCACGGGCTGGTTGCCCACAGCTTTCTTTGGTCTTCTTGGAGGAGTGGGACCCCCTGCTTGGACTCTGGTGTTCAGCCTGTGATTTGGACTGCCTCAGCTTTTCTGAGAAGAGGCAGGCTTTGGTTTTACGCTTCCGGATCCCCCCGCCCCCGTCTCCCGTCCCACAGCCTGTGGCAGCTGCTCAAGTCCTCTCTATCAGCCCTCAGCTGAGAGGGAATCCTGCCGTGGGGGTGGCTGGCTTCACCCCGTCAGTGGTCTCCTAACTGGATCCCTGAACGCCAACACTGAAAACTTGACCTGGTGGCACGGTCACGGCCGAGCTGGCGTCAGCTGGGGGTGCTGTCAGGAAGCCAGGTCAGGGGGAAGCGAGGCTAGAAGCCAGCTTTTTCTAGGGCTGAGGCACTGCTGCTCAAGATGGTCCTGCTAACTCCCCCTGCACCAAAGCCCACCCACTGCTTGCCACCCGGCGGAGCTCTGAGTGGCCACAACACGGGACATGGGACACGTGGCTTAACCCGTTCTATTCATCACCTTGCCGTTTTCACGGATTTCCTGGTGGAACAAACATTGACATCCAGTGGCCTTCAAGCTGAAACCCAGGTGTGCGATCCTAGAGAGACCCGGGGCCAGAACGCCAAGGACTCTGAGCGCCTCAGCAGTGTCCCTCCGCCGGGGACATGGAGACCGCACAGGCACCCAAGAATTCCAGCCACGCTCTGCAAGGGTGTTATGCCTGGTCCGAACCGGAGTGCCAGAGATGGGTTCCTTCCTAATGTTGGTACAGATTGCAAGGATGCCACCCCCGAAGTGTGCAGCGCCTCATGGTTCCAAGAATTCCCCCACCGTGTCTCTGGGGATCTTTGTGACAACCTTGTGAGATGGGAAAGGGGGATGGAGAAATGGAGACTTAGAAAAGGAAGAGCTCAGAGTCACAGAGAGACTAAACCCTGGGTCTCCTGACCCACTGGGCCATACCCGAGATTTCCAGAAGCACCGGGCCAAGAGGGCCCCAGCAGATAAGGAAACGCGGCAGTGTCCCCGGCTGGCCAAAGCAAGCGCGGCGTGCACAAGCGTCCTCGCCCCCGGCCACACAGCTGCCCCGACCTCCTTCCGCACAGACACAACACGAGCCTCCTTCCCTGGTGCTGCGTTCGCAAAACAACACACCTCCAACACTTCCAACAGCCAGCCAGGCCCGGCCGAACGTCGGTGACAGGCCTGGCGTTCATCCAACGCGTCACCACTGCCACAGCTAAGACAACCGGCCAGGCTGACCTCGCCCTCAGGCACACTGCCTCGCTCCGAGCACCGTCCACTTCCTCTCTCACAAGGCCGCCATCCACCTGAGTTCCAACTGTGCTAAGCAGTGCCTGTCCCTTGTTCATCTCCAGGCCTGACCTCCTTCCTCGGCTGAACTTCATGCGCCAGTGAATCAGCCAGCAAAAGCTGCCAAGCAGGTCCCCTCGACCCCCACGCCGGGAGCGACTGAGCCCCTCACCAACCGCGGAGCTCAGAGGTGTCTGCAGAACACGCGCATCCTGCCACCTGGGCAACAGGTGTGTTACGGGACCAAGCGCGGGAACAGCCTCTCCTCGTGTTGCCGCCTGCGGGTCTCCTGGGACCTCCTATTCCGGGCACCTCAAGCTCCTCGGGAAGGCAGGGCTGACAAACAGCTGGCTGCACTCAGTGGGAAGACGGGGCCGTGCGATGAGTGGAGGCTGAGGCAGGGCGGTCGGACTCCCCGGGCCTCCCATGCAAGCCCAGGCCCGTCCTCTGCGGGCGGATTACCTCGGTTACAGATACTGCAGAAGCTGCCGGGCCCCTCGCTGTGCTTCTTCAGGTGGTCTGCCATGTAGGCCGCCCGCAGGTACTTCCCACACACCTGGCAGGGCACCTTGTCCTCGTGGCAGGCCAGGTGGGAGCGCAGACGGTCTCGGGTGGCGAAAGAAGCATTGCAGGTCTGAGGGCAGAAAGGAAAACAGGGTGAGGCGAAAGTCGGCAGCACCCCGCGCCGACCCCCCACCAAGGGCACCGCGTTCCTGGCCACCGCGTGCACCACCCGCGTAAAGGCCACGTGAGTGTGGCTCAGTCTGCTCCTACATCTGAGTTGGAATGACTGGCTCTAGGTGGCTACCAAAGACATGTCCAGGACACAGCAAGCTTAGTTCTGTGCTCCTATATGAAACAAAGAGCCAGATGTTAATTCATCCGGGAACGTCAGGAACCGGCTTGAGGTGCACCGGCTTCCAGTGAATCTACAGATGGGTTGTTGGCATGTACATGAGTCTCCCTGTTCTCCATCCCTGGGCTTCCTCTAGTTGCTTCATCCCGCTAACTCGGTTTATTCGTTTCATTCAAAAGCGACATTGGTCTTGACCACGCAAAGCAGAAAGGAAAGATGACAGAAGAAAGCAGCGAGAGAGCGCTTCTTTGTATTTTTGCGAGTTTGAATCTAAGTATTCCACACGACGACAGGTCGATGCTGCTCATGTGAGAATTCAGAGAGCAAGGGCCAGAGGCTCCGAGAGCAGCTGTGAGATGTGAGGCTGGGGAACTGCTGGCACTAAGCGGGATGACGGCACCACCCCGCGTGGCCCGTCAGCGGCTCTTCTCAGGCAGTCAGATGACTCGGGGAGGGAGGCCCCAGGTGCCCAGGTGTTTCCTGTCACCTGAGGACCTGACTGTATCTCTCAACATCTCCGCTGGGGCTGGCAAAGGCCCCCAGCCTGGGGGACACAGAATGTTGGGAAAGCCCTGCGACGTGTTGAACCTGGCGTCTCTCGAGCTGTTTTTGACCAGTCTAGTCAACTTTGACCCATTGCTTTTCTCTCTCTGTGCAGGTGAATGCGTTTTTACTGTTTTCAGAACATAAGAGAAAGCAACGTTCACCTTGAAGCGTGTTGCGATGAAGCGGGACCCCCCCCACCCCGAAACGTGCCGCGCGGAGCTGCCCTGCGCCCCTGCGACCTCACAGAGCAGATCCCGAGAACGTCTGCCTGCTGTCGCCCACATGCCATCTCCCAGCCGTCTCCTGACTTCACAGCCACAGCGAGGATCACACGCACGCAAGCGGTGGAGGTAGGAGGTGGAGGTAGGCCAGCCACTGCCGGCCGCGCCCACCCCAGATATCCAGGCGTTAGCACGGGCCTTGCTGTTCCCACTCACTGTCCTCTGAAGTAAACACTACAGCGCCGAACAGAGCCACTTACGCTACGGCAACGCCGCTTCTGTTCTCAATGTGCGGTTTATTTCCCTGCCAAACGACGAAGCTCACTTTAGAAAGTGAACTGGCCCAGAGCACAACAGACTCAGCTACCGGGCAGAGCCACACCCAAACACACAGGCCCCCCTGCCGCGGCCAGTACGGCCAAGTCTTCTACCCATCTCCCCGCTTTCTGGAGGTATTCTCAGCTTTCCCAATTTACAGCTAGGCAAACGGAGGCCCTGACGGGACACAGGAGGCTGCCCTGAGCCTGGGCTCTTTCCAGATCCAGGTGCTGACTGTGGAACACCGTGTACTTGTTAGCCAGGACTCCCCTGTCAGGCAGCAAGATTTGTACAGGGAAAATCCACCAGCTGGGGGATTCCTAAAGCTCACAGATACATGGTCTCACGGCCAAGGGGTGGGGGCTGTTGGGCAGACCCCCAGGACCCAAGAGAGGCCACAGGAGGAACACTCAGAATCTGCCCCCACAGCCCAGCAGCCTGTAAACTACAGCAAGGGCTGAGGGAGGTGGGTATACCTGCCGGCTGATCCCGGAGCAAGAGCTGGCCTGCCGGGCAGCGACCCGCGGACCACCCCTCCAGTGGGGAGAGGGAGCGTCCCCTAAGCTGCAGAAAAGGAAGCAACTCGGCCCCCGCGCGTTCAGGATCCGGTCTCCCGAGGCGGCCCAGCAGAGTCCCCAGGGGGCTGTGTAAGGGGCGCCTGTTCCCCGTGCCAGCCCTCTTTTGGGATCTGCCCTCTGGAGGCTTGGCCCGTCACACTTTGCTACGTGGAGATGACAGCCAGCCAGCCCCCGAGGATCCCCGAGCGGATTACCCATTTGGGGATTAGCTAAGCAAAACGAAAATCCCAGACCAGGCAGGTCTCCCCGCCCCGCCCTCCGCGGATCACCACCCCAGGAATGAAAGCTGACTTCAGCCTGAGCAAAAGTAATCAGGACTGGAAACCTGTCGCTGGGGGGGGGGGCCACAAACACAACCAGCTCCTTTGCTGTGCTGCAAAGCCCGGCTGTGGGCATTATTAAGTTCCCCGTGCCAGGAGTGGCCGGCGGCCCCCAGACTTTCTGGGGAAACTGTGTTGGAGTCTCGGCCTAACCGGAGATTCAGACGGCACAGAGCGGGAAAGAGCCTGGCCCCGCGCCCGATGAGAGAGGGAAGGGCCCCGAGGGAAAGCCCGATCTCAGAGAAGGGGACACCCAGAACCCCCAGGCTGGGGCCACGTGGGAGAAACGCACTTGGAGAAAACAGAGGGGGAGCCAGCAGCAGGACCCCCTGGCTGCCCACGGTGCTCAGAACGGCTGCCCTGCCTGCAGAGGGTCTGCTGCCCGAGCCTGGGTCATCCTCACTCAGCACTGCACCCAGGCACCCTCCCCCCCACACTTCCTGCAGCTTTTCCTTCCAAGGCTTGAGCAACTTGGGAACGAGGCCCAGAGGGCACCAAGGACACGAGTCCACACCCCCACCCTCGGGCCTTTGAAGTCAGGCAGCCTCCTCCCACAGCCCTGGAGAAGAAAATGGACAGGGTGTGCAAGTCCAGCCCCAGGAGTCGGGCTGGCCCCCTGCTTCTTAAGCCTTTGCACACCTCAACTCTTTGTCTAACAGCCCCAGAGAGGGAGGGCCCCGGGAGAGGCCTCCGGCCCCTTGGGCTCAGGCTGAGCCCCACGTGAGACCATGTCCCGGCCCACGGAGCTGGTAAATCCAGACGTGTCCAGGGCCCGTGCAGGGCACTCAAGCCAAGCCCCAGGAAGAGTCGTCTCTGCCAAGCCTGATGCTTCCTTCCCCCACACTCGGGGAGGCCTCTGCACCCCAGTTGTGGCACCCGTCTCGGGAAGCAGCCCCTCTGGAGCGGCTGCGAGGATGGCTCGTTTCCCAGCCAGCCAGGGGCCCAAGGAACCCACTTCCAGAGCTCGCCACCATCTGGCCAACCCCAGATGCTTTCCGCACGCCACACCATGCCAGACAGCCACCCTGCTGTGGAACCCAGCCCAGCACACCTGGCCGGCCCACCAGGAACCTGAGCGCCGGCACGCCTTCACCCGCCGGGCCCGTTAGGAGGGTGTTCCGGCTACGGGCCAGAGAGTCTGTGAGAGTGTGGGGAAGGGCAGAACAGGAGTGGGCTCGGACACTGGGGACAATGTCAGTGTTATGACACAGACCAAGGACAAAACACACAAAGCCTCAAATGTTAGAATGAAAACTTTTATCATCACTCCTGTTCTCCCCGCAGAGCCTGTGGGGACTAAGGGGCACACCAGTGGGATCCGAGGAGGGGGTCTACAACTGTTTTACCAGCCCCCAAAGCCCAGTACAAAGCTACCGGGTAGGTTAGTTCCTGAGCGCACCTGCTAACAATAAAAACTTGCAAATCACCGGAGTGTAACTCACTAGGCAGAAAGGACAGCAAGACCTGTTCTGAGCGGGAAAGGGAGCGGGCAGCACGGGCTGACCCCAGCTGGGGCTGCGCCAGGGAGCTCTCTGGAGGCAAAGTCACACGCAGAGCGGGGGAAGGGTGGCCAGGCCCCACTCCAGACACCCCACGCTTTATGGGGAGTCATGCGAGGGAAGGCGAACACACAGGCTGGTGGCTTAGCTCCAGGAAAGCACCAACCTAGCAGATCACCCAGGCAAGGACAGGCGTCCCGGGGGTACGGTCTGTTAAGGGGTGCAGTGGCAGAGGGAGGCAGAGAGCCTAGAAAGACACTTGGAAGCTTTGGGGGGTGGGACCTAGACAGAGCTTCTTGGTCCTTCCATCCCGGGGCCCTGCGCTGGGGGAGACCCCAAGTCACCCAAGGAGGACCTGGGCATGGTGGGCAGGAACCACTCTAATGGCTGGCCTCTCCCAAAAGCAGGGGTCTCAGGCCACGCCCCAGTCCCGTTCCCTGCCACCAGAAACCCTCTCCAAGGAGACCCAGACTAGCCTACAGGCCACTGAGCAAAGGCCCTGTTGCCCTCTGGGGCGGTCCAGCCCTGCCTCAGATATCCCGGCGGGGCTGGGCAGAAGAGGGCGTTGCTGGAGTGTGCTGGGCCCAGGTTTTCAAGGGCTGGGAATGACTTTTTTAGAGAAAGGGGAAAGGCGGTGTCAGGAACCGAATGGGACGACCTCCACAAAGCTGGCTGGGCAAAGTCCCATGCTGGCAGGTCGCTAGGAAGAGGTTCCAGGGGCGGCAGGCCGCTGCTGCTCCCAACCCACACCTGGAAAAAGGGCAGAGAGTGCAGGTTACCCTCCCAGGCCACCGGGCGCGCCCCCACTGCCCTCTGGGCTCCGCCTAGCCTGCCCGGACTGCTCAGCAACTACCTGGGAGGGTCACAACGAGCCCTGTGATGAGAGAATCAGATAGAGGCAGCGAGGCAAGCCAGAGCCCAGCAGGCCCTCCCTGGAGGCCACCTGGCCCGGAGTCTGTGAACAGCGTCCAAGCCCGACCCCTGGGGCTCCAGCACATACAGGCTCGCCCCAACCCTCCCCTCCTGCCGTCAACAGGGTCAGGAGAAGCAGGCGTTGCCCTACCAGAAGCGGTAGTGAGCGCCCCACAACCCTGTCTTGGCCTCAGCTGGCAAGAACCTGGCACTAAAGAAGGGAAAGACTGAGAAGAGAGAAGCCTGTTTCCCATCGATCGCCAAAAGGAATGCCCAGTAGCCACGGGAGGAAACTTAAATTTCTGGGTGGCCGGCAAGGTACCCGGATACTGTTCAAGCAGGCAGACCAAGGCTGAGAACCTGCTGCCACGCACAGTGCTCGTGCGAAGAGGACACGGCCTTGCACGCCGTGGCTCAGCAGCACGCCTGTGCCTGGAGATGACAACCCCCACTCCCCACCTCCTGCGGCCCCTGCTGCCTCGTGCCCTGAGCTGAGCTGAGGTGCTCCACCTTGGGTCAGACAGGGGAAACGCGGTGGGCTGGACGACCAAACCCTGCACTCCCTACAGACTGCTGGGAAGCGGCAGCCAGGTCCGGAGGGGTGCCAGGCCCCCAAGGACGGCATCTGTGGCCACGTGGCCCACCATCCAAGGGGCGGGCAGACGCCAGGAGAGGAAAGCCAAGCAACAGAGCGCAGACGAAGAGAGGGTGGGAACCCCGACCAAGCAACCAGGAAGGAGGGGACGTCAGCCTGGGGGGAGCGGGGCCGGGGGTGAAGAACAAAGGAGAGCCGAGGGAGGGTGGAGGGGCAGAGTGGGGAGGTGTGCGAAGCGGTGGTCAGCCGGGCTGGGCGCCGGCACACGCGGCAGCTCGCTCACGGCCGCGGCTGTGACAACAGCATCATTCTCCTTCAGCCCATCTCTGCCCTGGCCCGGCCCCTACCTGACACTTGTGAGGCCGCTCAGAGGTGTGCACCTGCTTGATATGTCCATTCAAGTGGTCAGGCCTGGAAAAGACAGAACCAAGAAGGACTTTAGAACAAGACAGTGAAAGATGGGGCCCAAACTTGCCCAGACACCCCCACCGCCACCTTTCTCTCTTTTCTCCTTCTCTCTCCCCCAACCCCCGCATGACAAAGACAAAGTCACCACCCGGCTTTGGCTGCACAGGCCCAGGCCCCTGGGCTCCCGGTTTTCTCTGGAGGCGGAAGGGAAGGGATTGTCTGTGATCTTGCCTGCCCACCCCCTCCATACCCTACAGCAGAAACTCAAAAGATTTCTGGGACCGGAGGCAGTGGCTTTAGAAAGAGACAGGGCTGCCTTGCTACAGCCTTTCCGGGAGGGGTGTGTGTGTGTGTGTGTGTGACTCATTGTCCAGACTAAAGCCCCTTAGAAACTCAGCGCTCCCCTCCCCCAGCCTCTCCCGCCATGGCAGCCAATGAATGCCGCCCGGACGGAATTCAGTCCCCAGAGGCCAGCGATGGAGCCTCCCGTCCCCCAGCTGGGCTGGTAAGCCAGATGCCCGCCTGAGCAGGTGGGCAGGGGTTGCCTGACCGGTAGGACTGGTTCCTGGTCGGGGGCCCCTCTGAGGCAGTTCTCCATCCCTAGGTTCATACACACAGGTGCCTGGTGTTCAAGTTAAAACCAGCCTTTTACTCTGAACATACCCGGAGAAAAAAAAACACCTCAGCCCCTGGACAAATCTTCTAGAAAGTCAATCTCCCCCACCCCCTCCTCTCAGATCGCCACGGGGGATCTGTGGGCGCACTTAGCCACCAGGTAGGAACACATCAAAGGCTTCTGTGCGGAGAAGCGCGCTCCGGGCCCCGCATTCCCAGGGTCATGTGAGGGGCAAAGCCCGAGGCGACTGATCCTGGGTCACCCAAGCTCCGTGCTGGGGGGCCTGGCGCCTCCGGAGTGCAGGGAGTCCCACAGGCACTTGTTCCAGCCCCTCCCTCGGCAGCCATTCAAGCGGGGAAAGTCGCAGGAGGAGCCCAGCCTCCCGCCCCCAGAGGGGGCCCCACGCCTGGTGCCGGAAACACAAAGGGAGCCCGGGGAGAAGAATGGCCGAGGCCTGGTGGCTCCGGCCTGAGGAATCCGGCCCCTTGCCACAGGCCCCAAGGAGCAGAAACAGCCAGGGGCACACCGGGAGCCGGAGAACTTCCCCCAGGGACGAGAAGGCCGCTCTGAGCCACACCACCTCCCAAACCAGGAAACTGAAAACACTACCCCAAAACCTGCCACGGTTTCCCTAAGGCCAGCCGAGCCCGACACACAGACCCACGTCCAGACCCTAGCAAGCAGCCGGGGCCTGGCAGGGGCGGGGGAGGGCGCCGTCCTCACCTGGAGAAGCCTTTCCCACAGCTCTGGCAGATGTAGGGCTTGCCCACGGACCCGTCGTGGGACCGCACGTGGTAGGACATGCGGTCTTTCCTCTTGAACCGAAGCCCACACACAGGGCAGGAGTAGGGCTTCTCCCCGGAGTGGGAGAGCTTGTGCCGGTTGAGATGGTACACGTCGCGGAAGATCTTGCCGCAGATATCACAGGCCACCTGCTTCCTGGTCCGGCTCCTCTTGCGGGGGCCATCAGGGTCCTCAGAGATGGGCAGCCCATTCTCGCCCAGCCTCGGAGGAGGGAGGTCGATGTAGCCCAGCTGGAGGCTGGTGACCCCGTGCTGCGCCTCGTGCTGCCGGAGCCGGTTGGCATCGGTGAACACCTTCCCGCACAGGCCACATGGGAGGATGCCCGCCTCCCTCAGGCCCCCTGGGGACCCGAACATGGAGTCCAGCAGGTTGGCCTTCCTTGGGCGGCCCCGGCCTCGCTTGCCAGTCAGGGGAGGGGCACTGGATGCCACATTGGGGAATGGGGAAGTCAGCAGCTGGGGGGACAGGGGTCCAGCCACCATGGGCAAGCGGTCCACCCCAGGGAGCACAGGCAGGGAGGCCTGGCCCGCGATGGCCGCGCCAGCCGCCCGCGCCGCCTCCTCCTCGGGCTGCATGCTGCCTGCGATGCCATTGCTGTTGGCCGCCAAGGCTGCCCCATTGGTCATGTCCAAAGGGAAGCCCAAGTCCGAGGTCCCAGGGGGACGGAAGAGCATGATGTCGGCGCGGGCGGGGGGCACGAGGATCTGCACGTTGGACTGTTTGATGACTTCCTGGCAGATCTCAATGACCGACCTCATCAGCAGGAACTTGGCGGCGGTCATCAGCTCGGGGAAGCTCTCCAGGCGCACCACGATGCGGGACGTGTAAGCGAAGTCCAGGATGTCCCCGAACACCTTGGAGCTGATGGTGTGCATCTCCAGCTCCCGGCTGCCCCCGGCTCCGCCGCCAGGGGCTGCCGCCGCGCCCCCCACGTCGGCGGGACCCCCGTCCGCAGCTCCACCGTCGCCCAGCTGGGCGCTGAACACCGACTCGAAGTACTCGCTGCAGGCGGCCAGCACGGCGCGGTGCGCCGGGAAGCTCTCGTCGCCCACCCGCAGGAGCACGTCGCAGAAGCGCCCGCCGTTCTTCCGCTGCTGGTTTAAGTTGTGCAGCATCTCCGTGCTGTGCCTGCTCACCTGGTAGGTGTAGCAGCCCGACGGGCCGCAGGAAGCGTCGTTCACCCGCTCCATGGCCGCCGCCCCCTCCCCACTAGCCGGGCCGCGGCACCTGTCCGCCCCCCCTCCCTTCCCCTAGCAGCCAGAAGCGGGGCGCGGCGGACGCGGCTACACTCCCTACACGTGCCGGCTCGGGGCTCTGTAGTCTAGCAGGTGCGCCCCAGCGCACACGCCCCCTGCCCGGAGCGGACCGTCTAGACTGCGAGGTGTACCACTCCCCACATAGCCGCCCCCACTCCCGCCGGATCGCGCGCTTCTCGCTTCTCCGCCCGCCGGCCTTCCCTTCTCGGTCTACCTTCCGGGGGGTGGGGGTGGGGGGGACGCGGGCGAAGAGGTGCGCCCCTCCTGCAAACGCGGCTGCCACCTCCCCTCCCGCCCGCCAGGCGGCGCCGGCGCGCAGCCAACGGGGGCGCGCGCACTCGGGGCGGAGGAGGACGCCGAGGAGGAGGGGGTGGGGAGGAGGAGGAGGAGGGGTCCGCCGCGCAGGCGCGCGCGCGGACGCGCGCGCTCCGCGGCTTTTCCCGGGCCCGCTGGGGGCGCGCGCTGCGTCCCCTGCAAAGCGCGAGCCGGGGCGGGGGCGCCGGAGCGGCGGAAACAAAAGGCGAAGGCGGCGGCGGCTGGGAGCGCACAGGGGCGGTGGCGCGGGCCCGGTCCCGGAGCCTAGCGGCGGCGGCGGCTGAGGCGAGCAGGCGGCGGCGGCAGCAGGGCGGGCCCTTCCCCGGGCCAGGCGCAGGCGGCGGCGGAGCGGCGGCGAGGCGGCCCCGGGCTCCGTGTGTTCGGAGCGGAGGAAAGATGGCAGCGGCTGCACTTCCTCTTGCACTTTCACCCCTGGGGGGAGGAGAAGGAGGGGGCGATACCAACAACACCCCCCCCTCTCGCTTGCAGGAAAAAAAAAAAAAAAAGAAACGGCGAGCTCGGCGTGGGGGCCCGCGGCGCCCCCTGCCCTGCACGTGCGCGCCCGGATCCCTATCTCGGGCCGCCCGGCGCCGCAAACTTTCCACTTTCTTTGTGCCGAGCGGCCCCCCCCTCACCCAGCCGAGGATGCACGTCCCCCCTTCCCTATTTATACACCCCCCCCGCGGCTCCGCTCCCCCCCGCTTCCTGCCCCCCCTCCCCATTCCCCAGCTCCGCCAATGCTAGCGCAGCCCAAGCCCCCGTCCGGCCCCCGCCTCCCCACCCCGCCCGCGGGGCCGGGGGCTGCAGTCTCGGCCCCCCCGGGCCAATGCAAACGCAGCGCCGAGCCAGCAAACCAGCTCGCACTGCCCCTCCCCTCCCTGCCGAGAGTGGCGGCGAGCGGGCGGGGTTGGGGGGAGAACCGAAGGGTGCAGATCCGGGCCCCCCCAGCCGGCGATGCGCACCCGCAGGTCGGGCGGGCGGCAGCCACCCTTCGGAACCCCAATTTGGTGCGCGAGATCCACCACCCCCCCCGCCAGAAGTCGCCTGCAATCGCCTCCCCGCTTCCAAGCCCGGCGAGGGGCCTGGGGTCCTGGCCGGAGGTGGTGGTGGGGGGCGGCAGGCCGGACCTCCAGCGCTGCAGGCTGCACCCCGCGCACTGGACCGACCTGAATGGGCTGCGCGCCCGGGAGAACTGGGGAGCTGAGCCCAGCGTCTAGCCTCTCCCCGAAACCACCGCGCTCCGAGCTTTGTGCCCCCAGGGAGCCTGAAGGCGACAACATGAGGGCGATGGGGCAGAAGCAGGGATCCCCGCGCGCCCCAGCAGCCCCCAGGGGAGTGGGGGTGCCGGGGAGAGCCTTCGGGTTGCCCCAAGCCCCGGGCATCCTCAGCCCGCCGTTCCTCCGGCCACGGACCCCCGCCGCCAGGCCCGGGCGCTTTGTCCCCGGCCCGCCCGGGGATGCTACGGCGGGCGCGAGGGTTGGTAAAGGTTCATTCGCCTGGCCGGGAAGCCCTGGAGGCCGCCGCCGCCGCCGCCGAGCCGAGTGGCTCGGAGCCCGGAGCTGCAGGCGGTGCGAGTGCGGCCGGGAAGTTCCCACAGTCGCAAAGAGGGAGCGAAGTACGCGTTCCAAACTTTCCACGGTTCCAAACTGAGCGCTTCCATTAAAAGAAGCGGGGTGTGTGCGTGTGTGTGTGTGTGTGTGTGTGTGTGTACGCGCGCGCGCGCGGAGGGGGAGGGGAACGCGTTCTGGGTATTAGCATGCAAATGAACGGGCCCGGTTTCCAGCTCCGCGCGGGATTCCCACCGCCGCGCGCCCGGCCACGCGCGCCCTCCGGCCTCCGGATGTGGCGTCGCGGCCAGACCCGAGTTCGAATCCGAGACCTCCGCGCCTGGGTCGTGTGTGCTTCCCCCGGGCCTCAGTGGAGCCGGGTACATTTCCTAACCTGGACACCTGGAGCCGCGGCTCTGGTCCCCGCACGTGATGAGGGAGGGACTCCACGACCAGGGTGCGGCAGAACCTCCTTATGGGCGCACTCCCCGCCCCCGCCCCACTAAGGCGCAGTTGGTGCCAAACTGCCGTCGGGAAAGACAAATGGGGCAAGTTCCCCGAACCCGGGGGCCGGGAGGTGTGCGCTCCGAACCGAACCGGGGGACGGTGAGTGATGGCGCAGGGCCACACAGGTGATGGAGGAGCTGGGATTCCCGCCCTTTGGCCTCATTGCCCCTTCCTCACCTGTGGCTCCACGGGAACCAGGAGCAATTCGCCCTCAGTCTGTCATGCTCAGGGGCCGGGGGCCGTGACGGGCTTCCTTCCAGAGGGCCGGGTTTCACAGAAGGCTGGTAGCAGGATCTTCATCCACGGTGCCCCCAGGAGCACAGCGCCCCTGTGCATTTTTGCACATAGGAAAACCCGAGGCTCCAGGAGCCCACCTTGGGAGAGTGACCAGAAGCAGGTCCAGGCCACAGTTCCAATGCCAGCGCTTCGCTTTTACTCCTGCGTGTAACCTCGGCGGTGTCCCTGCTGCAGGGCAGGAGGGACAGGTCTGTGCCGATCGATCTCTCCACTCCATCCACAACCCTGCCTCCCATCTTGCCCACCTCCTGACTCCCGGGAATCCACTCCCGTAGCTACTGAGGCTTGGAGGCGTGTGCTTGCAGGAGGCATGCCTTTGTCATTATTTATTTATTTATTTAAAAGGCAGAGGGACAGAGCCACAGGCAGCGATCTCTTTATCTGTTGGTTGGCTCCCCCCAAAACGCCTGCAAATTCTGGGTCTGGGCCAAGCCAGGAACTCAGTCTCCCACGCAGGAGGCCGGAACCCAGCTCCTGGAGCGATCATCTGCCGCCTCCCAGGGCTTGCTTCAGCAGGGAGCTGGAGCCAGGAGCTTGGGCTCCATGCCCAGGCCTGAGATGTAGCCATCCCAGGCAGTGTCTCGACCACTGCATCAAATGCCCACCCTGAGCCACGTCCTCGCGCGCGTGTGTGTGTGTGTGTGTGTGTGAATCGGTGTGAAGTTCACATCCCGTGAAAGTCACCACTGTGAGGTGTGTACTTTGTCAGCACTCCCCACATTCCCAAATCTTGGGCACCCAGCGCCCCTCAAGTCCCATCACTCCCAAGGAGAACTCAGTACCCACGAAGAAGAAGAAGGCACTGCTCGGCCCCATGTCCCTCCAGCCCCTGGCAACCACCAACTGAACGCTGTCGCTACGCATTCGCCCACCCGGGAGATTTTGTGTAAGCAGGGATTATAGAATACGGGACCCTTGGGGTCTGGCTGCGTGCTCTTAGCGTCCTGTTGTGGCCCGGGGCCGGACTGCATTCCTTTTATGGCTGAATCGTATTGCCTTGTATGGACATCCCCACCTCCATGCACTCCTCCATTAAGGGCCTTTCGGCTGTTACAAACAGTGCTGATGGATCGATCGTTTGCGCCCAGGTAGTCACCTGAGTACCTGTGTCCCTTTCTCTTGGACATTTAGCTCTGTGTGTTTTTTAACTTCCTGAGGAACCACCAAGCTCTCTTTCGCATTAGCAACTGCCCCATTTTACATTCCTACCCCGACGCATCCTTTTATGAGTAATTTTAGAACTGATCCCACCCCCTACCCCGCATCTTATGAATGAGCACCCCTGGGCGCAGAGAGGTAAAGTAATTTGTTTGAGGTCACAAGTAAAAGCAGACTTTCTGGAGCCCCTGGCCTTCCAACACTCAGGGCTTCCCCCTCCGCCCTTCAGGCCACCTCGCCTGAGCATCCGTGGATTCGTCCCACAGACCTGTCTAGCGGACACCAGCGTGAACCGTGGGGATCCAACTCTTCCCCGTTCAGCATCTGTTCACAGGGCCCATGGCCGTGTCCCCAGTTTCCAGGCCACACCTTGCAAAGCTGCAGAGCCTACAATCCCTGAGCCTCCTGCTGCTGGCCTGTCGGGCCTTCTTCTGTTGCCATGGAAACCACGCACCTCCGTCTTGGCTGCGCACCAGCTGGGCAGCGGATCGGAGAGGATCCTTGTCTCCCAGGCTAACGCAGAGCTGTCAAGGTCATTCGTTCAGTCCCTGGCTTGGGATTTGTTGAGCACCTACTAAGCACCAGCCTTGCTTGAATCGAATTGAATTCTTAGATGCTAGGGATACAGCAAGGGACAAGCCAGACCACAGACCCTGCCTGCGAGGAGGCCACAGCCTAGAGGAGGAGCCGGACAGAAATCAAGGAAGCAAATACGGTTTCTGCCTGCCCCACCCCCACCCCCAGTTTAAATTCTCCCATCTCTCCAGGTCCTGCTCAAACCCACTTCCCCCGGACCATCCTCTTGAAGAACCCAGATCCCAGCGCTAACTCCCCTCAGCTCTCACGGGGCGTTCTGTTGCCTGACTGCAAAAGCGATACAGGCATTGCAGGAACTATAGAAAATGCAGGAAAGCACAAAGAAGAAAAATAAAATGATGATGTGTGATTCCACCACCAAGAGGTAAGAACTGCCAACCATCCTTTCTGGTCTCCCCTTTCTACAGATATATACTGTTTCTTTTCTTTTCTTTTGTAAAGATTTATTTGAAAAGCAGTGTTACAGAGAGAGAGAGAGAGAGAGAGAGAGAGATCAATCTTCCATCCATTTGTTCACTC